TGAATTACATGTTCAGAAGATTTATGTCATTAGTTTGGCTGAACCCCGCCTGCCCCTACAGGTGGATGATGCTGTTTGGCCTGAGGTGGAAGGAGAAGAGGAAGGAAGAGCTACAGTTAACCAAGATACAAGATTAGACAACAGAGTCATTGATCTTAGGACATCAACTAGTCAGGCAATCTTCCGTCTTCAGTCTGGCATCTGCTATCTCTTCCGAGAAACTTTTAATTAACAAAAGTTTTGTGGAAATCCAAACTCCTAAAATTATTTCAGCTGCCAGTGAAAGAGGTGCCAATGTATTTACTGTGTCATATTTTAAGAATAATGCATACCTAGCTCAGTCCCCACAGCTGTATAAGCAAATGTGCATTCGTGCTGATTTTGAGAAGGTTTTCTGTATTGGACCAGTCTTCAGAGCTGAAGACTCCAATACTCACAGACATCTAACTGAATTTGTTGGTTTGGACATTGAAATGGCATTTAATTATCACTACCATGAAATTTTGGAAGAAATTGCTGACACCTTGGTACAAATATTCAAAGGACTTCAAGAAAGATTTCAGACTGAAATTCAAACAGTGAATAAACAATTTCCATGTGAACCATTCAAGTTTTTGGTGCCAACTTTAAGACTAGAATATTGTGAAGCATTGGCTATGCTTAGAGAAGCTGGAGTTGAAATGGGAGATGAAGAAGATTTGAGTACACCAAATGAAAACCTGTTGGGTAGTTTGGTAAAGGAAAAGTATGATACACATTTTTATATTCTTGATAAATATCTGTTGGCTATAAGACCTTTCTATACTATGCCTGACCCAAGAAATCCTAAACAGTCTAACTCTTATGTTATGTTCATGAGAGGAGAAGAAATATTATCAGGATCTCAAAGAATACATGATCCTCAGTTGCTAACGGAAAGAGCCTTACATCATAGAATTGATTTGGAGAAAATTAAGGCTTATATCGTTTCCTTCCGCTTTGGAGCCCCTCCGCGTGCTGGTGGAGGCATTGGGTTGGAACGAGTGACTATGCTGTTTTGGGGATTGCATAATGTGCGTCAGACCTCGATGTTTCCTCGTGACCCCAAAAGACTCACTCCTTAAAGCTGTGCTTTTTACTTTTTCCAGTAATCTATTGATCAGGCTGTTTTCCTTAGATACTTAAAATATGCAACAGAATAAATGTCTTATCTAAAGTTCCACTATTATTTTTGAATTCAATCAGTATAGGTTAATTTACAAGAATTTTTTATAACTTCAAGGATGCTTCAGAAAGAAATGCTTGACCATTTTAATGAGAAGTTCATATGGTTACAGGGCCAGAGATTTAGCTCAGTGGCACCGGGCCTCAAGCACAAGGTCCTGAGTTTGATCTCTGGTAACCGAAAAAAAAAAAAAAGTTGTTCATATGCTTACATTAAAAATTTATATTACATTACTACCATAAATGTTAACAAGAGTTTTAAACAGTTAAAATTATGCAGATTTTTTCTATGTTATGGTTACCACAGAATTAACATCTTAAATTTTCAATATTTGAACTGACTTTTTAAACTTTTAACATTGAAATAAGAACAATTGAAGGGTCGGGGATTTAGCTCAGTGGTTTCGCCGCTTGCTGCACAAGCGCTAGGACCAGAGTTTGATCCCCGATACCAAAAAAAAAAAACAATTGGAGAAGTACCCAAGCTTTTAACAAATATGTAATTGGCAACTTGTGGAAAATTAAACGAATAGTATCAGTTCTTTAAACTTATACCAAGAAATCATGTAAAGCAAGTGAAAATACTTAAGAGAAAATATTCAAAATAATATTGTATTAAATTGTTACATTCTAAACTTGAATTTCAATAAAATTTTAAAACAAAAAAAAAAGAAAAGAAGAAGGTCCTGAGTTTGATCCCCAGTACTGCAAAAAAAAAAAAAAGTAAAGGGACCAAGAGATGGAAGGAGGAGAGGGGAAGAGAGGATTACTAAAAGAATTAAGATTTGTTATATTATATACCAGCTCCCCAGAAAGATTGCACTTGATCTTAGCCAAAAGGCCGAGAAGCGATCCCCAGAAAGATTGTAATCATTATATATTGCAACTTTTACCAATAAAAAACAGTGTGCTTTCGATGATTGTCCTCTAGGAAACATCATCCAGTGTCTCCAAATATACTTTTTAGGCAACTAATAGCAACTATAAATATTATATGATATTTCACATCTGAAATAACAATTTATTTGTGTCTGAATGTAGAGATAATGGTAAGAACCGCAGTATACATAAGGTATAATATACACATTGACAATGAAAAATAAATTGAAAATATTATTGTGCTTTAAATCATTTTTAAACTTTGCAGCTATATATTTGATGTAACTATTCATTGGAATGAATATGTTTCCAATAACTAAAACATAACAGGGTAATCTTCAAGAAACAATAATAAAATGAAGCTAGGAAAAATGAAATATATAAATGTTGCCATTACACTTTTTCGATTTTCTTTCATTTTCATAATTTTCTGTTTATTTGTTAGTATTTTTACATAAGCTTTGTATTATGTTAATTTAACGATAGGGATAACTCAGCATAAACTAGAAGGGGAATGATGTTATTGAGGTAAAATATTTAATACAAGTGTGAACTTCTTTTTAATGCAGAGAAATGATAAATTAATTTGTCTTATTCTATCTTTAGAAATACTAATTACCTTAGCTTGACTTCTACCTGGAAAATTTTATCTGCTGAAGAGTTGAGCATGTGAGAGCCAAAAGTTCTATTCCAGAGTCTGAGAAGACAATTTATAATAGATCATATCACATATTTATAGATCCAAAATATTGACCACAATGTGGTTCCCTCTGCTATCCCTGAAAATGAGTGTGGTCTGGCTCACTACAGGCCAAAATTGTTGACACAATACTCTCCCACTAACTCAAAAAATTGGGGTGTCAACTGAAACTGTTCACCAACAGTCATTTGTATATGTTCATTAATTTACTAAAAATCTTTTAATTCATACAAGAGACAAAATTCTAATATTTTGGAGGTATGTAGTTTAGTGAGTTTTTAATAGAGAAATAAGTGTATAAGCAAATCTGAGATTGTCCTAGGAGGAAATAAATAGGGGTAAATAGAACTCCAAAAAGTGTACATCAAAGTGGTAGGTCTTTTGGCTTCCCAGGAACTATGTCTGTATTGAGATTGTGTCAATGAAAACAGCTGGGAAGAGCATTTGTGGCAGAGGAGAAAACAAATGCAGAGACTATGGGACATGAACTGTTTGGTATGAGTAATGAATGGTAACAAGGCCAATCTTCTCTAATGCAATGAGTAAAGGACCAAATAAGGTTGGAAAATTTCATTGGGTTCTTATCACATAGGTTCTTGATGCTATAAGTTGGTCATTAATGCTAGAAACAATAAGAACCTATTGAAAGATAAATATTTGGAGGACCGATTTAGGAAAAACTTCTATACATGATTCATAAAATTCTGTAAGTTGTGCATGATAATCTGATATGTTATCAATTCTGTTTTATGCATATATGTGAATATTTATTTACTTATGCCATTCCCTGTTCCAAATGTATTTGGGATGGTTCTCTGGAAGAGAACAAACAAGCCAAATAAATAGATGGATAGATAAATAAATAAATAAATAAATCCAAACTAAAAAATAGCTCTAAATACTTGAAGTTTTGTTTTCCTTGGAAGATAGCAAGAGTAAAAGAGGAAAATTAGTTCCTGAAATACTGCAAAGAGAGAAAAATGGTTTATTTTCAAAGACAAGAGAATTAGAGGTATAGTTTTAGGGTTTATATTTTGAATGTTTTAACTATAGGTTGGTATACCAGTCATAATTGGCTAAGCTATATTGCATAGTATTCCATTGTTTCTATATAATATACTTTACCAGCACTCTGTTGACATAGAATTTTTTAAATTTCCTTTCCATTTTTAATAGTATAAAAAATACAGCAGTAAACATCCTTATACACATCAATTCTTGAAATCTTAGGAGCATATCTCTGGAGAAATTACTAAGAGTGGAATTGCTGGTTTATTTTGTGTTGTGTTCAGATTTGTGAAGATGTTGTCCAGTTGCTTCCCAAATGGTTGAATAAATTTACAGAATTACCTATAGAAGTAAAGAGTTCACAGAGTTGTTCTTGGTGACACTTGTAGAGAAATTGTTTTTGATTTTGTTTCCCAATCCTGAATTATTGCAACCAATTTATATATTTGAAGCACTTCCACTTAGGCAGGCAAACAGAAAATTGCTTTCAACTGCAGCCACTTTTCTTACTCTCCACTGTGCATTATAACCAAATGCTTTGAAAGTCTATCTTAATTAACTTTTTTCCTTAACTCAGTTGGCACTGAATCGTGGTACTCTGCAAGGTGTACAGTCTTTAGAAATATTAACTTAATTTTAAAAAGCTTCAATTTGTAGGTGTTCAGGGACCATATAATCTTTCCACATTAAGCAATATTTGAAAAGACTTTCTCACAGTGCTTCATTTTCACAGAAATACCTCAAGTGTGGAGTATTTATTATCATAAAACTTAAATGCATTTGCCAAATTTACTCTGGTTAGAATCTGTGCTGGTTACAGAAAATTTCCAGCGTCTATTCTACATAAATCACTGGTTTATTTAGAATAATTAGAGATCAGATAAAATGCTCTGCAAAATGATTACCTCACAGGGATATCATAATAATATAAATTATCTATAAATTTTTCTTAATGTAACTCACAGTTTTCTACATTGGGGGGGGGGGTAACAGGGATTGAACTCGGGACCTTGTGCTTGCGAGGCAGGCACCGGAACCACTAAGCTAAATCCCCGGCCCGGTTTTCTACATTATTTAAGAATTAAATGTTCCAATTCTTTTGCTGAAACCTAACAGTTTGCTTACATTGACTTTAGATATTTATTTGCTATATTTGTTCTCTTTGCTTGTTTTCCTATAATAGCTTCTAAAATCTCTTTTTATATTCAAGGACTAATGCTGCATTGAAAATAGAGAGCATAAAAGATGGAATCTGGAAGTTTCCCTTGATCTTGATGGCTACAGATCCTGATATGGAGGAAATTATTAACATACGAGGAGTTGGTTTACAAAAGGAATCTACTATGAACTTTAGGCTGACAAGTCCCACAAGGTACTTTATCAAACAAAAGTATATAACTAGCTTTATGAGTGTGATTTATGCTGAATTCAAACATTTAAAATAGAAAACTCTGCAGGTCATCTTTTATTAGTTAAGTCAAAATTGTATTGCTTCCATGACTCAGTTTTATAGACTTCATAAATTTCTATTTGAAAATTGAAAAATAAAGTGTACAAAATCAGAATCAAAAGGAGAAGCAAAAGCAAATAAGTAGATATTGAAATTTAAGATAATATTGTTATTTGTTTTACACAGAATGTTTCAACGTATTTTTTCAGAGATACATAAGTTATTTCCTATCTAAATTTTTTTTCTTAAATTCTTTTATTGGTACATTTTAGATATACAACACAATTACATTTCTCATTGGGAATTTGTACCTTTATATGATGCAAATTGGTTCTTATTTATTCCCCATTCCTAGCCCTCCCTTCACCAACACCACCCTTCCCTATTTACAAAGACTTTATTTCCATTTTTTCCATTTCTCATCATTTTTCCTTTCCCTTCTTTCCTTTCCCC